TGTGTGTGTGTGTGTGTGTGTGTGTGTGTGTGTGTGTGTGTGTGTGTGTGTGTGCAGAATAGGCAAGAAAAGCTGAATGCTTTTAGCAACATTAATGTTTTCTCTCCATGATGACTGTGCACAAACTTTTTTTTCCCTTTTTTTTTGCAGGAGTGACGTGAGAATGCTGAGTTCATTCAGCACTTTCCCAGCTGCTCATCAAAGCGTGTCATTTCTGAGAGGACTGGGAGCACGTAGAGGGTCTGTGCGCCCACAGCAGCCATCACGTACTTTGCAACGAGGGATCCAACTCTCCAAAGTGCCAGCTCAGTGYGCGATGCCCTGGTTGTGCAGCGTACAATGCAGGCGGGCAAGCTCTGAACGAGTGCCAAAATAACTCAGGCCTCCCAGCACTATATTTTCATATAAGGCTGCAAAGTGTAAGAAGGGGGTGAAAAGTTAGCTGCCACAATGCAAAGCAKCTGCAATGAATGTATCTTTTAACAGACACAGAACGCTTCCTCGTGTGCAAAATCACTTCCACCTGRGATATTAAAACAAAACAACAAAAAAGGCAGAGAGAGTGCATGCTTTTTTCTTTGTCTAGAGCAACTTCTACAGTTAAAATTAACGCAGTTTRACTGAACATGTCATTCAACACCACCAACAGGTTTTGCCTGATCCTCAGCAGAGCAGAGGCCTGACAAAGGGATGAATGTGCAACTAGTGATGATGTTACTGTATTGCAGCTGATTATGAAAGTCTAACTAGATGACTGTGAAGACTTTAAAACCTGAAAGCATAAATTAATACAATAACTTTTTTATAAAATAGAGACAAAATGTAAGCATGTACTGTTAATAGTGATATTCCCACATTGGAAAATAAAAAATATAACACATTTATTTAAGTTTGCTTTCAGTTTCCTTGTCCACTGAGTGGCTAATGAGCGAGGTTTCACGAACACAGTGCGCGCTTCCACCATTCCCACCACCGTTCCCTAAAGTTTTGAGGACCCTGATACAAAACGACAACATTTCGTGTTTAGAAGAGGAGGTAATGTAACCTACCTTAAAGGGAGCGCGCTATTAACTAACAAAGCCTGTTAAATGCGTCATGTTGAGCGACAATCCCGTTCCACCGTTCCGGAGWGAGGCTGAAAGAAGGAAGCGCCTCTCGGCTCGGCTGCGCGCAGTTAACGCACACCCACCCGGCTGCTGGCGGCTCSAAACTAACGCGAGGGTGGTCGGCAAATGTGAGAAGAAAAAAAAAAAGTTCAACAACTAAAGAAAAACACAACGTGGCCAGCACCAACGGGTCGTGGAAAGTCCATCCAATTTGTCAAAAGTCTGACTCAGCAGAGAAAACTGCGCTTCTCCGCGGAGGAACAACTCTCCAAACAGTGCGTAACTTCCTCCACATGCGCCCAC